GCAATATTATGTATTAATATTAGAACATGTCTGAGTATTTCTTTATTTCCTGTATATTGATTCATGGTATCGTTAATTATGTTGACTAGATTAAGAAAATCATTTGTATAGTCATTATCGTTTTCCAAATATTTCTGAAATAAATCATATATAGCTTTATTTTCATCAATATACATTTCAGTTGCGAGTTGGCTTCTATTATTACAATATTCGGAAGTTTTAAAATCTGTTGCCATCATTTCTTGTAGGAATTGGCATAAATTTGAAATAAATGTAGAGAAAAACCGCTGACTAAAGGTGAATTTTGACTTACATTGTTCATTAAATTGACGATAAAAAAAATATATATATATATATAGAATTTATTGATTTTACATAATTTGTCATGGAGCCTGCCAACTAGCAGGATGAGTTGTGACTGTGCGGGTTATGGCAAATATGGTATAATTTGTGCCATGAATTTTCATTGAAAAAATTGAATATTAAGACACAAATTTCATTTAAAAAGAAAAAAAATGATCTTTTGGCTTCATCGCACCTTTTATCATTATTATCAAAATAATTGAACATATAAAACAATTGATATAAAATGAAAGTCCCATTAGAATAAGCAAAAACTGAGTGGAATTGAACCATTTGATCTTCAAAATGAAATAATTGATAAAATTTTATTCGATCATGAAGATTTCTTTATTTCTTAAGCATATAAGAAAATAGAAAACAAAACGAATAAAATAATTTCACTAGTTATAAAAATATTTCCATATTAAAAAATTTTTATGAAATATAGTGAAATAACCTTTTGAGAGTTTTTTAATCGTAACATTTGTGATAATTGAATATGATGGTAATCATTTTCTATTTTTATATTCTTTGTAGTTTTATTTTTAACACCAAATCATGCTATTTTTATATAAATAATAAAATTTCTGAAAATTTTGATAAAAATGGTTTTTGTTAAGAATGATATTCAATACATTCAATGATTTTTTCTATTGACCGCTCAATATTTTGAAAGCATTTATTGTTTTATAAAAAAAAATCTATATTTCAAGATTATGAGTGAAAATTCATCAACAAAATCACAAGTTCCACCAGATATTATGATATTTAAACTTGGCATATCAAAATTAATTCAAATGCCAATAGAATTACCGCAAAACTTAGATGAAAAATGGATGACAATATGCGATTCAGAAGAATTTGTTTATTACACAGATTTAATTAAACATATTTCCGCTTGTAAAGATCCTTCTTTAATTATAAAAGCATTCGATCAAAATGCTTTTCAATTAGATTATTTAACTTCTGAGCTTAGCCGACACCTTAAATATTTGAATAAAATTATGACTTCTGAACAAGTTCTCAAATTTACATCGCAAATGAGACTTGATCCGCAATCTCTCTATAATATTTTAGGAGTAGAAAGACGACCTCTTTTTAATTGCGCATTGTACTTGCTTAAAACAATTTTATCTATTGTTCAAGAAGAATCAGAACAAAAAGATATTTTTTTTTCATTTGTTAATTACCTTATCCCCAAAGATTTATTAGAATTTCGAAGAAAACGTCCTTATATAAAAACAATTTTATACTTACCTGCAATTTCTATTGCTGATGGATCACTAGGATGGCTATCTTTAAATCGCGAAAAAAATGTTGTCCGAAAATATTCTTTTGAAAATCCTCAATCACCAGTAAAAACATTTAGTAACGATGCTTATTCTTATGATATATATGCTGAACAAATTTGTTTCACCCCACTAACAACAAAAGTAGCCGAAAAAAATGATTCTTACAATCTAATTACAGCAAACGCAGGAAGGACTTGGATTGATGCATTTAAGTGGAACGAAGAATATGACCCGCTTCTTGTTTTTCTCTCCTCATTTCCTCATATAATCGAATTTTCAAAATATCTTCCAGATGAATTTCTTAATCAGCTTTGTAGCATTGTTTCAGCTCCTGATCTTGATCTTGCTCGTGCTATTTGTACTACCGCAGCAAATGAATTTCGTGATGGTGATCACACCAAAAATGCTTGCTTAGCTGTTTTATTTTTATTAAACAAAAGTGGATATTTAACGCAATTTATTCGAAGTGCTTTTGCTGACGCAATCGATGAAACAAAAGATACAACAAATATTTTACGAATGAGTTCAATTGCCTCAATGAGTAGTGGAATTATTTTAACAAATTGTGAAAATGGATTATCTGGTCAATTAGCTGAAATCATGAAATCTGAACGTGATAATCTACCAAATGCAATTAGAAAGCTGATGACCACATCTAACGGATTCACCCCACCAATGAGATTTGTATTAAGTGCAGCTTTCCGCTCAACCAGAAGAAAATTCCCAGATTATTTAGTTCCTTTAAATGCTATATCTTCTATCCTAATGCTTCGTTATCTTGTTACAGAATTAACCAAACGGTCAATTGAATTAGCCAAAGTTTGCCAAACGCTTACTCTTACTTTAATGTTTTCAACAAAAGTTGAGCAGCTTCCTGAAGATCTTTATAAACAATTAGCCCTTTTCTTGGCTAATTTAACACATTTCCAAAATAGTAATATTAATTTAAACACAAATGAAATCCAGGCGAAGAAAGATTTAATTAATTTTATTCTATTTCAGAAAGAAGATAATAATTATATTAGTAATATTGTAAAAAGTTTATCTAATTTAATTGCAAATCCAGAGCATCAGATTAAATGGTCAATTATAGAGGTAATTGAAAATATTTGTAATGGTGTTGATGAAATCTTCGATGTAGAAATGAAAGATAAAACTTTCTTACCACAAAGATACACAAGAAAGCCTTCTCAGAAGGCGCAAGAAAGTTAATTTAACTTTTTTGCATGATTCTCTTTTGCAGAGTTGTTATCAATAAAAGTTTATAAAAGTTATATATTTCTTCCAATTTTTTTACTTGATAATCATTTCAACAAACAATTAATTATTAAAAGTAAGAACAAATATAGTATGATATGAATAAAATAATATTATATGACTTGATGAATTTTAATCTAATTCAAATTGAATAGGATATGGATTATCATAAATTTTAAAATTAAAGGTTAATCATCAAAAAAAATGGTTTAGCAATAATTGTTGAATAGACAAAAATATTAAAAAAAAAAAAAAAAAAGTAAATCTTTGTTAATGCTGTTTAAAACTCAAAAAACGAAATGGCTAATTCAAAAAGTTCATGAGATTGGCCATTTTTTTCAATAATTTCATGGACATTAATGCATTTATTTCAAAAAACAAAGATAAGTATAAAATAATAATATATTTTCAAGAGCTTCTTAACCAAATAACGGCCGAATCATTCCCTAAAGTTGTGGAATATATTAAAGATCATCAAGAATTTTTCTTCAAAGATCGTGAAAGTGCCCTTCTCTTTTTGTGGAACATTGCATTTTTCACATTGCATAATTTCAAGCACTTTAATTTGATTCTTGATTTAATTATTCACTATTCAAAAGAAATAAAACAAGCAGGAATTGACGAGTACGATATCATTGACATAAATTTAAACAGTACATGCAATATAAATTATTTATATGATCATAATATTATCAGTATTCAAAGCATTTTTAAGAAATCAATTCATAATTCTAGATATTTTGTTAATTTTTATCCAGAAATTTACGAGTACGACCAAGAATACTCAGAAAAATTGAGAGACAGCATATTGAATGATCAAGATAATGATTTATTCGATAAGAGAATTGTTTCTTTCATGAAATTGGTTGTTTCAGATCAAGAAAAACACAAAGAAAATCGAAGCAAAAATTTCAATTGTTCGTCACTTCACCAATCAATTCGTGACGATGACATTGACACTTTTCAAAAGATATTATCGAGGAATAATTATAGCATCAATTACCATTTTGAATATTCTTTTTATGAACGTGCACAAACTGAAAATTTGACGCCTTCTTTGATTCAAGTTGCAGCAATTTATGGGTCATTGAATATATTCAAATTTTTGTTTATGCAATCAGAAATTCAAATTGAAGAAAATTTGATTGATTATGCAATTTCTGGTCGAAATCTAGAAATCATTCATCTTTGTGAAACTAAATGTCCATTAGAAAGAAGTCTAACTTTTTCAATAGCATCACATCAAAATGAATTGAGTGAATACATTATTGAGAGGAGCTCTCAAAAAGTGGAAAATTTGAATGAAGAGAATATTTATAGTAATTTGGAATATAAGGGACTAAAGTGTGCACTTGAATCTGCAAATTATGATGTCATTCTTCCTTGTTTAGAAAAGATAATTTCAATCATTCAAAATTGTGAGAATTATAACGAATTAGAGAAAGAAGACGGTTATGGAGACAACTCTTTTTTTTCAATTCAATTTTATGATATGGAACTATTCAAATTTTTCTATTCATATAAAAATCCAAAATTTGACTTTTTTGGCGGTTTAAATCCAGTTTTCTTTTATTGGATAACGAACAATATGTACGATGCCATTGAATACCTTATGCCTTTTTTGGAGCCTTGTCAATTATTTCAAATTTATGAAGATTCTTTACGGTTTAATTCAAAAATTTGTTGCCTTTTGTTAGACTATCAATTTGACGAAATTGAGAATAAAAGTGAACATCCCGTTTTTGACGAATTTAAGAAATATTTCGATGATAGTTTCCTGTTTTATACTTTGAGTTATTTCGTTGAAGAAGTTATTGTTAAAGAATACAACCTATATCGAGTCATTGACGATCCAGAAGCTTTCCTGGAATTAATATTTCATACAGAGGCTCCGTCTAAGAAAATGTTGAATTCGTTTTTCAAGAATAAATTCAATTTTGCTTCTAAAGAAACTGTTTTACTGACTTCTCAACTTTTAAGAGATCAGAAATTGGATGACTGTGCTGCTTCTATTTTAGAATATAATCAATAAATATTATTATCATCATCCAGTTATTATTAATTTTTTAATCTAAAAGGAAAATGTTTTGAAAATATATATAATCAGAAGCGTTGCTGGTGTAACGGTTATCACATAGGCCTACCAAGTCTGGAATTCGGGTTCAATTCCCGAGTAACGCATTTTTTTGACTTTTTTACTCAATCAATCTTAAATGATCTGGCCATATTAATCAATAATATCATTCCATATTGCATTTTGTGAAGTTATTTATATTTAAAAATAACTCTACTTACTCTTTGGATATAATTATATGAAATTTATATAAATTTCATTTTGTCATTCACAAAACATGAATTTAGACAGATGCATCTGTTGCATATGAAATATTAAAAATATAAATTTGGTGCATTTAAAAAGATATCTAGAATATCAAATGGCAAAATGTGATATCAACTTCAGAATTTTTTCAATATTTTATAAAATCTAATATCCACTTTTTCTTGACAATTCAATATGAACAAGTGGATTTATTTTTATTTTCCATTCTTTTATAAAATTAATTTCATTAAAAAAAATATATCATTTATCTATCAAAAATTGATTGTCAATTACAATTAATATGAGAAATAAAATTGAATAAGCCGATAAGAAAAATATAATTATTTTTTTTTTAAAAATGACTTTCGACGTTGGAATTATTACAACAATTATTATATCTCTTTTATCAGCTGCGGTGGTTGTTCTATTCTTCTATTTATATGGCGCGTTTAAACTTACGTTTATTACCTATTCGGTTATGCTTGTTTCTTCAATCATTCCAATAGTTATATGTATCGGTATCCTCCCATACGATATATCTCGAAGTCTTTTTGGTCAACAAGAAGATAAGAGCAATCCACTTAGAATGACTTTAGAAGTTTTATATTGGGTTTCTTTTGTATTAACTTGGGTATTCGGACCAGTTCTTGTTTCATACAATCGTTATTCATATTCAATTTCTCTTAAATACAGAATTTGGTTTACAATTCGCGAAAATTTAATTTTTTATGGTGTTGCTCTTTTAGTTATATGTATTGGTGTGGCAATTTTATTAGGGACGCATAAATTGACTATTGCTAACTTATTCCCTCTTGCAATATCTCTTGCTAACGGTTATGGTTTGGTAATCTTGTGCTTATGCTTAGGGCATGGATTTATTGCATTTCCTCGTACCATATGGAGAATGGCCGATCCAGGAACAGCGTATCTATTTTATCTTCATAAAATTGCACGTGAAACATCATTATGTGCATCAACAATTGCAGATGGCGACGTCGCTCTTACATATTGCACAAATGCTGAAGCTCATCTCCAAGGTGAGCAAAAAGATCTATATGATAGAGTTGGAAAAGACAGAATGATCAAATTAAGCCAGTTAAAAGGGGAATTGCCAATTCCAGAAAAATGCATGAATGCTATATCGAACAACAAACAATTGAAAAAAGTTGAAAAAATAGAATGGGAAAAATGCTCAAATATTCAATTAATGGACTTTTTCCATTTGCTAGATGATTGTATTACCTACATTGTAGAAACAACATCCTTTGTTCAGGATTCATCAAAATCAGCCTTACACGCATTAAAAGCATATGGAAGGAAATCGATTATATTGGTTATTTTAAAGCGAATTTTTGCTGTTTTCATTGCTACTTGTAATGCAATTTGCTTATGGAGTGAAATTTGTTTGATGTTCAACAACAAAATGTCTTTGTTTTATATCATTTCTCATAAAACCATGCCACCAATTGTTTCAATTCTCTGCATCTCAACGCCTATTCTTGCTTATCTCATATTTATTGGTTCGTGGAGCTTAACTCATCTCAGGCTTGGATCATTCTTCAGATTTATTAAAGGCGCCACAAATCCAAATACAATTAACTACTTTGCAATCATTCTTTGTCGTCTTGGCCCAACCATTGGTTTTCATTATCTTCAACAAATCGGAGCTTACAATTGCGAATTCTCTGAGGTCATGGGAAAAATGGATGTTGTTGTTTTCATTGGAACAAAATGGAACATTTACTCGCCAATTCTTCTTATAATTGTTATGCTTGTTGTAGCTTTTAACTTGGTTGAAAGAATTACTAAATGTTGCGGCAAAGGTGACTCATTTGCTTTTGATGGAACTCAAATGAATGAAGATGACTTATCAATTGGTGAAGAAGTTCTTTGCGAACTCGAGCCTGGTGCAAAAGACTTGGTTGAAAGTGGCCTTAGATATTCTGTTATTGCTACACAAAAGAATGTTATTTCACCACCAACAAAGAGGATTACTAAAAACAGATCTGATAATGATTTTCAAGAACAACTTGCTCAACAATTAAATGACCTGTAAATAAACTTCTTCAGTGCTAATTTGTTATTATATTCACAAATTAAAGCTAAACAAATGATTTTAGCTAAATTTAATTTTGTCTTTTTTAAATCAAATAAAAAAAAAAAACGATTTTGATTTATTAAATCATCATGAGTTAATTTAAAAAACAGAATAATAGATAATAAAGGAAAATAAAATTATGCATTTGGTAATTTGATATTTCTATCTTTCCATTTTGATGCTTCAAGAACAACTCTCTTCTTCCCCACAAAAGTTCTGGTAAGAGTTTTCATTGCTGTTATATAATCATTCACATCAAGAAGTGAAACAAATCCATAAGTTTTATTTCTGCCAGAAGAGTCACGAACAATTTTCACTTTTGCTAATGATTTTAAATGTTTAAATGCATCGATAAGGTCTTGCTCAGTAGCAGAAAGTGGAATATTTCGAACTAATATGCGATAGTCGTTTTCAGGCCATTCTGCAAGAGAGGGATCAGTCCATATTTTATCAACATCACCACGAAAAACAGCTTTTGATGCTTGGTCTCCTCTATGAACTCTTTTTTTCTTTTCGGCGCGCAATTGAATTGATTCTGCGTATGTATCTTTTTCCTTTCCTGAAACCACTGGTTTCGCTGAATTTTTATCAATAAAATGTTTATCTTGTGCTTCAATATCGCCAACAATACTTAATAGTTTAGCAAGATCCTCTTCCATATAAAGAAATTGAAAAAGTGAAGGTAAAATCTCCTTCATAAATATTCCTCTATCTAAATAAATAATGGTTCTTTAGTTTTAAAAATATTTTTTTGATACAATATATAAGCTTCATAAAACTCAAAGCATCAAATTTGAATGCTTTTATTATTAAATTTCAAGATAAAATACTAAAATACAAATAAGAATAAATGAAAATTGACCTTAATTGACGATTTTTTGTCATTCAATGGAATTAAATGAAAATCTACTTCCTTTAAGCGGATCACCCAGTCCTTTATTTCTTTTTGCTCATCAAAACAATGATCAAGGCGAATTTTTATCAAAAATACAAATATGCAATAATTTTGGTGTATCAGTTTCCTCAAAGGGGAAAATTTTCATACACCAAATGCCATCTTTTGAAGTAATTTGCTCAAGAGCATTTTCAAATGCAGCTTCTTGCATGATACAGGACAATGATCATTTCATAATTTTACATACCAAACGCCCTTTTATATATAACACTGCATTTTCTGTTACAACGGGTTTTTTAAAGCGACCATCTATTCAAAATTATAATAAATCACAAATTTTCGTTTCAGGATCTTATTGTAATAATGTTTTGGTTGGCCTTACAAGTTCTAACGCACTATGTCTGTGGGATGTTAGATCAGAAGAAAGTCCACATCTTTTAACACTTCCAAACAATTTAAATGTCCAAGATGTTATTATCAATAATAATGTTGTTGTAATTGGCCATGGGAAAGGCTTCATATCAGAACTAGATGTACGAAATATGAAACAAAGGATGAATCAGTTTGATATTTCATCCCAAATTATTACTTCGCAAGCCAAAAATAATCAAAGCAGATCATTTATTAGTCAATTTAGTTTGGCAAAAAATGATTATGAACCTTGGATTATCGGATTTCAGTACGATAATGGTCCAGCAGGAATAGTTGACTTAATGTCAAGAAAAGTTTTTCATCAGATCGACTCACCTCCTTATTTAGCAAATGGAGATAATAGGTTTACAAAACCACGCCCTATTTTTTATAAAAATTCTTTTTGTATTGCTTACCCTGGATCACAAATTATTCAGGTAATTGACTATACTAAATTTAATTATGGCTATAGTTATAGTAATAATGCTGATATAAGTATTAGTGATAGTGATGGGAATTCAAGAGTTTTGAATGATTATAGAAAAGACATTGAACTTAACATTTGTCCTGTTTCATTGGCTTCTAGCGACGATGTTGATGGTATTTTTGCAGCCTCTGCTTTAGGAGATATTTACCGTGTTTTTTAATCTTATACTAGTAATTGTTTGTAATTAAAGTAATTGTTTGTAAATACTTTTAAAATTATACTAAAATCACTTTTGAAGTTTTTTTGATGATTAAAACAACTTTTAATCGCAGATTTGTGATATAATTATATTAATAACTCATAAAATACTTTCATTTTAAAGATTCAATAATTTTCATAAATATTTTATATTATATGCATAATACAATATAATTATTTTTTGGTATTATATATAGATATAACTATATAGAAAATAAAATTGCATATGCAATCATATAAAATAAAGATATAATATGAAAATTCATTTTTTAAATTCAATTTATATGTGTTCTGGCTTCAGATTTTCTTTTGGTTGTACCAAAATTTTTAAAAATTTTGAAAAGAAAATTGAATAGTTTATTTTAAATTTCTGAAATCGAATTCGATTTAGTCGACTAAATTCAAATATATGGCATCAATATCAGAATTAACGCTCAAAGCAGATAACGGAGATGCAGAAGCTCAAAACCAACTTGGTATGAAGTTTGAAAATGGTTCAGGTGTTCAAAAAGATGCTAGCCTGGCTGCAAAATATTATAAACTATCCGCCGACCAAAATCATGTTTTCGGATCATACAATTATGCTCGATGCTTAGAAAAAGGGATTGGCACTAAACGAGATTTAAAACAATGTCAACGTTATTATAAATTTGCCGCTGACGAAGGAATCCCTGAAGCAGCTTGCTCTCTTGGCAAAATTTATTTAAAAGAGAAAAAATACAAAAATGCTGGCGATTATTTCAAGCTTGCAGCTGATAATGGAAATAATGAA